AAGATATTCATAGGCTAGCCTGGCTAGTTACTAAAAAATTAATTAATGTATGAAAACTGCTTGATTTTTATTAATATTTTATTGAAGGAAATCCATCCGAAGAAATTGTGACAAGAAAGTCAATATTTATTGGCTTGTTTATTAATAGTATAATGGAAAGTGGGTAAAAGACGTAAAGGTATAGGCCTGGCTTGCATCATTCTTGTTAAAGTGGATGTATATTAATTAACCTAAATGAATTATATTTAAATGATATTGATAATTAATCAAAATATTGCTATGGATGGGTTTTACATAGCTCGTTTGAGTGGCGTTATCAATAATCTCGCAGTCACATCAATTATATAATTATGATTATTTTTAGATTATCAATAAAACAGATTAATCATTTGCAAATTATAGTGACGTCAATGTAAATAATGATGTCCGGAGAGTTTTGACATGATTTAGTAGTAGTAATAATAATAATATTTAGGAACCAGCATCAATGCTCATCAATCTATGATATTAGCATAAATTAACTATTTAGTGCTATTAGCATTAGTTTGGTTAACCCAATTCCAACAATCGACTCAAGATTATATTAGCATAATATTATTGTCGAATTTCATTTACGTGATATTTTTCAAATTACGTTTTTTTTAGAAAGATCTCTATTTTGATTTTAATTTTCTATATATATATATATATTATGAGTTTTTCCAAAACATTTTACCTGTTAATTGTGGCTCCCTTGGTGGTTCTTGGTATTCAAAATATTTTCATTTTTAATGGGGCGAACCCAAACCCTTACCGACCTAACACAGCCCCACAACCATAATTAATTGGCCAAATCAAGTCAAGTAATTGGTCAACAAATTTAAAACTGTAACTCACTCAGCATGTGTGGCCAGACACCAAATCAAAGTGAAGCAACTACACACATTTTTTTCAAATACAATTCATTTTCAACTAATTCACACAAATGAAAAAGTAATTTAAAATACTAAACTTATTATAACATTCAAGTGATTTTTAGTATTATCCTTACCAACTACATTAAACTCTAATATCATATTGATTTAATTTTATCTCTCTCTCTCTCTCTCTCTCACTATCCTTGTCAAATACGAGCTTATATAAAAAAAAGTATTTAATACTATTTAAAACTATCAAATGCCTTAGATCAATGAAACTTTTTAGAAGGTGTTCTATAAGAGGAAGTATAGTAGTATATAAAAGGAGTATTGAGTAATAGATAAATGCGACGAATTATGAGACTAAGGATCATAATCACTTCGTTACAAAGAAGCATGGGGTGAGAGATTAAGATAATTAGCTAAAATGTAAGACAGACAAATAAAAGTTGCTGTAATATATTACGTGTAAGTGCTTGGTGATCAAGTCAATTTAGAGAGAGACACTGAAGGGAAGTTGTTTGTATTTTCGTGGGAAAATTCTCTCTCTCTATTGAGTCATCGATGTTTGGGGGGAATGAATCCATTTGCTAATTTGTTTGATATGAAATTTCAACGCAGGGAAGACTTGGAAGAAAGGACAAAGATGAAGGAAGCAAATTAAAAATCTCTAGTCACTTCCGACGACCATTTCAGATGTATATACCAACCGTCCAGCTACTAGCAACCATATCAGATTTCTGACCTCACAATATTATGAAGCTTTTAGATTCATTTCATTTCATAGTGGAGAGATTGGCCTCAAATCTAATTTGACGATGGATATATAATAAAGTTATTGGATTCCTTTATGAAAAGAATGAGAGGATGGGCGGTGGGGTGGTGGATTATTTGTCACTATAATATATATAAAACGACACGGTTTGGCTTTTTTATGACAAGAAATTCAGAACGTACTCCTGCCTCTATCCATTTAATGTTTACATCGATCCATTCATAGATATAACCAAATGGTCAAGCTTTTTGCCTCATCATGGAGGCCTCATCATAAAGTTGATGGGACATATATTTGTATAAGCTAAGGTATGATCTTCTATAGATATACTCATCGCAACTCAGATATTGCTTAATCCCAATCATGCTATAATGAGTTTTAACCTAGGGTATGGATATGTAATTGGCCAAATTAATAACTTTCGTTGTGTTATTTGATGAGTTTCACATTTTTCTGAAAGAGATCATGTAATAAAATGAAAAAAAAAGTAGACAAACTGAATGCTAATTAATTAAACTCATGATCTTATAAAATTAGATAATATACATATATATAATGTCACTAAGAAAAGTAAGAAACATTATTTAGCAAATGATGATGTGAAAGAAAAGAAGAAGCAAATTAAAGTATGACATATTGCTGTCATGGGCAAGAGATCAAAAGAGAAGTCACGGGATTCTTGATTCATCCACAAGTTTTGTATACCTAACAAAATATATACAAAATTATATAAACACACACGCGCACACATATTTCAAAAAGGAAAAAAAAAAAAAGAAACAAAGTGACAATAATGTTTGTTTCCTCCAGCTTCTTGCATTGCCCCCACACATACCTTCCCCACCTCCTTAGCACTTACTTCAATACACCTGGATGCATGCACATGATTTTGCCTTATCTATTTTTATACACATGCATTATTCATCTATTTGTACTTGCACTATATTTTTTTGTCTTTCACTAAAATTTACAAACTTTACTTTATATAATCCTTTGGTAGTTGATTTTCCAGCTGAAAATTTACATTTGAATTTCACCATATAATGAGTTTGTGTGTGTGTGTGCGCGTAGGGTACGCGAATATATACCTAACAGAAGAAGCAGCAAACAAATGGGAAAAATTTTATCTATGGGATGTTGATTGATGCCTATCTCTCTAGCCATATCCTTTTATTAATATTTAATATAACTAATGTATCACGAGATGCATGGCTCTACATGCTGTATAAATTATAAATTTCTGCAACTAATCATTCTCATAATTTATTCATTTTTAATTAAGAAACAATGATTAAGCCAAAAGTTTTGTGTATCTAGCAATATAATATAAATTATAATCATTATATCAACCATCTCCTTATGTTTTCTGCAAACTTATCCAAATTTTATGTGGCGGGGGTCATTGACTATTAGAAATATGAATTGAAGTTGCATTATTCTGAATTCACCATTAAATTTTATAGTAGAGGCCTAAGTTAATTAGACAATTATATTTACAAACTCAGGCCTAAATGGTAATTAGTTAATGTATTCCAACAGAGGGATGTTCGCTAAAGTGCCCAAGGGATCTCCTTAATTAGAGAGGGATACCCACAAACTTGGGTTATTCTTCTCCTTCAACATTTATATTTTCTACCAAAACCGCATTAGGAAGCAGCAACCATTTACACATAATTAATTTTCTAGAAATGTCCCAATATAATTTTTTTACAATTTTTAATTATGAAGAAAGTATGCCCAGCCCAAATTTTGCATGAAAATATTTAATTTTTATATCATCTTTAAAAAAGAAGCGTTGATCTAGCTAATTCCTCTGATAGGTGAGGTGACCGCAAATGCACCGCCCAGCTGCCCTTAATATCAATTTCAATATTTTCCATTGTCCTATAGATGCATATCGTACCAAAAGAGAATTAATGAGTCAATTTGTCAACGCAGGCTTTTTATCTCTCTGTTTTTTTTTTTTCCCTTACTAAGAAAATAACTATCACGCTCAACAATTACATCTATGATTCTCACTCAATTTAGTTTCCTAAAACATAATATCTATGATAAAATTGGGGCCGGGAGGCGGCGCCGGCAATTGAATGCGTATTCAATTAAAGTAAATATCTCACATATCATTTTCTCCATTTCGATCGCAAAATTCTGTCACAAATTTCATCAGTGTAATTAAGAAATCAAGCCTCTAAACAAGTGCACTTTCCGGGACTCAAATTTATGTTCTCCTTCTTATAAAAAGGTTTAATTCGTTTTGGATACTGATATCGTGCTGAAGACTTTGTGATGAAAAGAGCGTGGAGAATTGATGGGATTCAATTACAGAACGGAAGAAAGTGACTTTGTGCAAACTAGTTAACACTCGTATCGTGGATTTTGAACTTCGTAGTTATGCATAAAATAGTTTTAGTTAACAAACGCGGGACCAATATAACTGGCAGCGTACTGTTTGGCCAAACAACTGTAATAGGACTGGAGAAAGCTATAGAAAGTAAGGCCGGAATTAATTAATTAATCTGGCGTATGCTATGGTTATAAAAATTAGGAATAATTAATGTGCAAGTCCTAGAAACTAAATACATATTTCTCATAAATGATAAATTCTTCTCAACTAGCTGCTTGCTATATATATAAATAATTAAAAGGGTTAGTCTCTTAAAGAAAAATAAAAGATATAGAAATGTGTGAATTGGCTGAGAAAATTTAATGTTCTTTTTTTTTTTGGCCAACAAGAAAATTTATTAATGTTCTAATAGAGAGGCCTTTGCAATATTTTCGAATCGCTAGATTTGATGTGTGAACATGAGAAACTGCTAAATTAATGCAAAATGACAACTAGTTTGAAAAAAAAACACATCATGATAAGTAATTATAATCCTTAGTGAAGTTAAATATATATACTTTTTAATTATGATATCATCAAACTGTGGAAGTTGGCGAACTTGTGATGGCAAAAACCGAGAAAGTTTTTCTTTTCAAAAAAAAAAATTCTTTCCACAAAGAAAACTTGGGTGAAGAAAGGTCCAAAGAGCACCGCTTTGGGGCCGCACACACTGTCCTCTTGTCGAAATGTCATTTTCTGCCCTTAAAAACACTCTCAGCTCTCTGATCTCTTCAAACTCAACCCCACATTTTCCTTCTAGAGAGAGAAAAATAAAGAATTTTTCATGGACTATAATACTTACTCAAAAATTCTAGCCCTATCGCCAGTACGCCAGCCAATTAATACAAAAATAACATAACTTACTGTGAGCCCTATGGGTATAAAGAGACAAGCTAATAGTTAGCATACCGAACCAGCAAGGCATTGTTAATATATGTATATCCCAACTATTGATTATTAAACTACTTGTATTCTCGAATTCCTTTGGATATATTCAGTATCATCATCATCATCGGTTTATGGCAATTGCAGCTTCGACCTCATCCTCCATCATGAGGATCAGCCATAGCTACCACAACCTCGACGACGACGACGACGAGAGGAAGCAGCCGCCAGCAGAGGCAGCAGAGGACGACGACGGTCACGAGCAGGACGTGGTGATGCCTGGGTTTCGCTTCCACCCAACTGAAGAAGAACTGGTTGAGTTCTACCTTCGCCGTAAGGTTGAGGGCAAGCCTTTCAATGTTGAGCTCATTACTTTCCTCGATCTTTATCGGTATGACCCTTGGGAGCTTCCTGGTATATACCCTTCTCTCTCTCTCTCTCTCTCTCTCTCTCTCTCTCTCTCAGATTTGTTTAGATATCTATATATCTATCTATATTTTATGTCGTAGCTTGATTCCCTTCTCTTGAAGGAAGCTTGAGATAAACCTTAACCAGTTCCCAAACAGTAGTTGTAAATATCTATATTCATATAAAATCAAGCTTCCCTCTGGTTGAAGGAACCAATTCTGGCATGTGCAGATTTATCCAATATTTAATTTCTGATATTATAAATCGTTTGGAGTGATGAATACATATGCGTATATTAATGGCTGAGAGGGAGCAGGTTTGGCAGCGATTGGGGAGAAGGAATGGTACTTCTATGTGCCGAGAGATAGGAAGTATCGGAACGGTGATCGGCCGAACCGGGTGACTACTTCTGGGTATTGGAAGGCTACCGGAGCTGATAGAATGATCAAAACAGATGGATTCAGATCCATTGGGCTCAAGAAAACCCTAGTCTTTTATTCCGGTAAAGCTCCTAAAGGGATCCGAACCAGTTGGATTATGAACGAGTATCGCTTGCCTCACCACGAAACCGAACGATATCAGAAGGTACGCACAAAAGCTCCTTCTTCAACCCTAGTTTTATGGCTATAGAATTCATCTTCATCTGGATCTTCCTATCTTTAGTTTCAATCTTCTCTTCCTCTATACATGGATCTAAAGCTATGATAGCTCTCTAGCTCGCCAAATTAAAAAATCTCGTAGCTAGCTGCATCGCAGTCAATATACCTCAGACCGAGACCCCTATAGACTTCCACACTAGCTCATTATCTTTTTAATTGTACACCAAGTTTTTTCAGTGGTCTATTCTTTTAATTTGGGTGATTCCAAAATGAAATTTTCTTCTCAGGCTCTGAGCTAGATATCTCTTTGCCACCTAATTTAATGTAGGAGAGAAAATTAATTAAGGCCGTGAATATAATTACGTTGCGTTGATGATTGGATCGATGTTGTACATACTGATAGTACATTTCATAACTCCAGCTTGAATTTCATAGTTCTTTCAAATGAACTGACCGGCCGATCACTGAGCAAAAGTGATCTTAAATTCGTGTTTGTTCTAAAGTCTATGGGTTTTGCAGGCTGAGATATCTCTTTGTCGAGTGTACAAGAGACCAGGCGTGGACGACCATCCCTCTCTCCCTCGTTATCTCCCGACATCATCATCAAGAGCTTCACATCATAATTCACACAGCAGCAAGAACAAGCACAACGTCAACCAATTAATGGCTCATCAGAACATCAGATTCCTAGGACAACAAACGGACCAGGTTGTCGATAAAATGAATCAAACTCACCTGGAAAACAGTCCAAGTGATGCCGACAAGTACAACAACAACAACAATCTGCAGGATCATCAGGACGAAGCGTTAATCCTCATGCAGCAACCAAAGCCGCAGCAAGCACAAACTCAACCTACAGAACCTGGAGCCTCCTCCTCCTTCTTCCCCGAAGGCTCCACTACTTCTAATTCTTCCTCATTGCCATCAAACGAAAATCTCAATACTGCAATAATGGTGGATGACCATCATCTCAATCGGCTAGTGAGTTATAATCAGCAGTTACAGCACTACAATAACATTTATGCTTCTGCAGTTCCTCCTCCTGCTCCTTCTCAAAGTCATCAGCAATATCAGCCCTACATGCAGTTCTCTAATATTCTGATGCAGCCCCAGCAATCAACATCGATGGCTCTTAACAATTCGCTTCCAAGCTCTTTCTCTGATAGATTGTGGGAGTGGAATCCAATTCCTGAGGCAACAAACCGAGACTTCACCAGCATGTCCTTCAAGTAATCATACACATACATTATACTATATATGAATATGGAGACAATTTATATGTGCTGATTTATCAACACTACATAGTATCTAGCTACTTCCCTTAATTTTGTTAATCTTTAATGTGATCTTAATTGTTAGAGATTTGAATAACTTATTATATATTGTATGACTCATATTGGGCAAATTAATTATTGTTCAGGGCATTATATTATGATCGTAGGTTTTAAGGTTTTAATGATGGTTTTACTAGGTTTAATAATTTATAATTCTAGGATGGATTTGGTGTAAATTCATCAAGCCAAAATGGATATTCGTTGAGAATCAAACACCCAATCGGGGAGGGAGGAGGAAAAGAGCAGAATCGAAACCACAAATGGTCAGAATATAAGTTCTTTCACTTATTTATATATATATATATATATATATATATATATATATTATTAAGCCTAATTTTATCCTATGTGAGACTTCACATATTAAATCAAATCCATGCTCACACTTAACATCTT